TCACAGGGTAGCACTCCATTCAAGGAAGGCTCATTTTCTGTCAGTTCTACTAAGAACCAGCCACAATTATATGAACCCCCCCCTCTGTGTGTGTGAGAGAGAGAGAGAGAGAGAGAGAGAGAGAGAGAGAGAGAGAGAGAGAGACAGAGACAGAGAGAGAGAGACAGAGACACAGAGAGACCAGGAATTGAACTTAAGACTTTGAGCATGCCAGACAAGCATCCTACAACTGAGGATATATAACAATCCTAGCCTTTTTCTCTTTTTTTTTTAAAGCTATTTTTTGTTTAGTTTTCTAGACAGGGTTTCTCTGTGTAGTCTGGGCTGTCCTAGAACTCGCATTATGAAAAACGCTAGCCTCGAACTCAAGAAATCTGCCTGCTTCTGCCTCCCCAGTGCTGGGATTAAAGGTGTGTACCACCACTGCCCAACTTAAAAAACAGCTTTATTTTGGAATATATATATACATATATATATATGTATATATATGTATATATATATGTGTATGTATACACACACACACACACACACACACACGATTATTAGCTCAGTTGTAATATATATCTGTATAAATATATGCCATATATGTACCAGTGCCTGAGGGGACCAGAAGAGGGCATTAGGTCCTCTGGAGCTATAGATGGTTGTGAGCTGCCTGATGTGGGTGCTAGGAACTGAGTCTTAATCCTCTGCAAGAGTATCAAGCAATCAGAACTGCTGATTCATCTTTCCAGGACCCTTTTCTCCATAGTTTGAGAAGGGTCTTTCTAAGTTACTCAGACTTGCCTTGAACTTGTGATCCTTCTGTCTTGGTCTCTTCAGGAGCTGGTATTACAGGCCTTAGTCACTACACCCGTTTCAAAAAATATTTTTTGTTTGTTTGTTTTGGCAAGACAGGATTTCTCAGTGTAGTTTTGGTGCCTGTCCTAGATCTCGCTCTGTAGACCAGGCTAGCCTCGAACTCACAGTAATCTGCCTGGCTCTGCCTCCTGAGTGCTGCAATTTAAGGCATGTGTCACCATAGCCCGGCTTGAAATTAAATTCTTGATACCCAGATTTTAGCTCTGGGCGGGCCGTCGCTAGCCCTGTCCTATCTTGGGAGCCAT